GAAATGAAATAAAAAAAAAGGAAATAGAAGTATTTTATGGAATTAAGTCTTTCTTTAAAAATGTACACAAATATAGTAAAGAACTTAATAGCGAGCTCGACGAGCTGGCCCGAAGGGCCTGCTCGCAAAGCGAGCTTTACGGTAACGCGAGTACCTGCTAAGTGATGGTTTTGAAAACTTTCGTCCGAAGTACCAAATTGGACACATCGCAACCTTTCGAATTAAAAGATAACGATAAAAACTGAGGAATTCTGAATGAAAACGGATGTGTAGACTGGTCACCCGCGCACGTCTATGGGAACCATAATTGGACAGGGAACCAGAATAACGGAAGCTGTGTATAAAATATCGAATGACAGTTTTAAAACGGAAAATGTAAAATGAAAATTGAAGGCGCCATTTTGTTTGAAAAATCTGATAAATAAAAACAATTTTTTGTCGAATTTTGTTGTGAAATAGAATAAAAGAAAATGGTCTAACTAAGAAAATGAATCCGAACAACAATATCTTTTATTCAGTCGTTAACGCTGTACAGACGTTTAAAGTATTGTTTACGTGACGTCACAATGTAGCGCCAAACAGCACGTGCAAAACAAACAAATCAAGTACGCTATTTTAATGTCGCAAACGTTTTAAGTTTTACATTTATTTCACTTATAATTATCTTTATTTCGCTTGAAAAGTTATAGAGTGAAATAAAATAAACAAAGTTTTATCAACGTTTTCAAAACTCGTTATTCATTTAACGACAGGGGCGGAGCCATAACACAGTACGTAACGTCACACGCACTCGTCACTGCATTTGAGATTATTTTATACTATTTCACGTTAAAAGTACATCGAGCTCGCTTTGAGGCTTTGCCTTTTTCATATTAGCGAGCTCGACGAGCTGGCCCGAAGGGCCTGCTCGCAAAGCGAGCTTTACGGTAACGCGAGTACCTGCTAAGTGATGGTTTAGAAAACTTTCGTCCAAAGTACCGTATTGGACACATCGCAACCTTTCGAATTTAAAGATAACGATAAAAACTGAGGAATTCTGACTGAAAACGGATGTGTAGACTGGTCACCCGCGCACGTCTATGGGAACCATAATTGGACAGGGAACCAGAATAACGGAAGCTGTGTATAAAAATGAAAATCGAAGGCGCCATTTTGTTTGAAATCTGATAAATAAAAACAATTTTGTTGAATTTTGTTGTGAAAACTATCTAGAATGAAAGACAATGGTCTAACTAAGAAAATGAATCCGAACACCAATATCTTTTATTCAGTCGTTAACGCTGTACAGACGTTTAAAATATTGTTTACTTGACGTCACAATGTAGCGCCAAACAGCACGTGCAAAACAAACAAATCAAGTACGCTATTTTAATGTCGCAAATGTTTTAAGTTTTACATTTATTTCACTTTAAATAATCTTTATTTCGCTTGAAAATTTATAGAGTGAAATAAAATAAACAAAGTTTTATCAACGTTTTCAAAACTCGTTATTCATTTCACGACAGGGGCGGATCCATAAATTAACACAGTACGTGTGACGTCACACGCACTCGTTACTGCATTTGAAATAAAAATTAGCGATTATTTCATGCTATTTCACGTTAAAAGTACATCGAGCTCGCTTTAAGGCTTTGCCTTTTTCATATTAGCGAGCTCGACGAGCTGGCCCGAAGGGCCTGCTCGCAAAGCGAGCTTTACGGTAACGCGAGTACCTGCTAAGTGATGGTTTTGAAAACTTTCGTCCAAAGTACCGAATTGGACACATCGCAACCTTTCGAATTTAAAGATAACGGTAAAAACTGAAGAATTCTGACTGAAAACGGATGTGTAGACTGGTCACCCGCGCACGTCTATGGGAACCATAATTGGACAGGGAACCAGAATAACGGAAGCTGTGTATAAAAAATGAAAATCGAAGGCGCCATTTTGTTTGAAATCTGATAAATAAAAACATTTTTTTGTCGAATTTTGTTGTGAAAACTATCTAGAATGAAAGAAAATGGTCTAACTAAGAAAATGAATCCGAACACCAATATCTTTTATTCAGTCGTTAATGCTGTACAGACGTTTAAAGTATTGTTTACGTGACGTCACAATGTAGCGCCAAACAGCACGTGCAAAACAAAAACTCGTCGAGCTCGCTATCAACGTTTTCAAAACTAGTTATTCATTTCACGACAGGGGCGATGACATATTTAACACAGTTCGTGTGACGTCACACGCACTCGTCACTGCATTTGAAATAAAAAAGAGCGATTATTTCATACTATTTCACGTAAAACATGTAAAAAGTACATCGAGCTCGCTTTGAGGCTTTGCCTTTTTCATATTAAGCGGGAGAAAAAAGATTTTTCAGACTTGCATTTAAGTTATATGACCTTGAAATAACCACAATTAAGGAAAAAATCAAATTCACGTACAGGAAATGAGATCGGTGACCCCTAAGTTTTTTTCTGCTCTAAATGTTTATGTTATCATATTCTAGCATCATGCTTAATTTAAAGAATATAATTATATTGAACCTCCTTAATTCTGCGTGTATGTGTTTATAACACTGCACATTTGTTACGTCACTTTTCATTGGATAATCGTGACGTTTATATAGAGGATATTTGTTGGTTTCAGTGTAAGATCGAAAAATATTTCACCGAGTGAACACCAGATGCAATATTTTCCACGAGTGGCGTAGCCACGAGTGAAAATATAATAGCTGGGGTTCACGAGTGAAATATTATTTGATCTTACATGTAAAACAAACAAATTTTCTGTTTATTTCATGATTTTTTAACGATTTTTACACCATTTTACTGATTTTTGCCGCGTAACGTCATGCTCTTATCTTCATGACGTCATCAAATATGACGTCACAATGTTGAAGCAAAATATAATTCCATGATTATTTTTAGATTTTAGATGTTTTTCAGCACAACGTTCGAAAATATTTACGAACTACAGTTATCACGTACATTTTTTATTATGATTGACTACATTTCCGCTGAAAAAAACATTCATTAATGATAAATATTTTATTTTTACGCCAAATATAGTTCGGCTACTGTGAAATTATATTTGGTAATCATTACTGTGAAATTATCAGAATATAATTAACCGTAATAATTCAGTAATCTACTGCAAAACATGTAATAAATACATACAATGTACTTTTTAGATACATGGCTGCCGTCGATTTATGAAATTATCTCATTTTTCTCTAACAAAAAATGCTTGATGTATTATGAGTTCGTTGTAAATAAATCCAACAGATTATATGTTCGTATATAAACGGTTGTTCGCAATATTAATGGCTATCGATCGAAATTCTTTATAATACTTGTACATGTTGTAAAAATCAGAAAATAAAGTTACAAATAAACCAAAGAGCTCTATAATTAGATAAACGTCTCGATTTTCCAATGAAAAAATACGTTACAAACATGCAGTATTATAAAGTTTATATATACGACTGCTGTTTATTTAATAAAAAATTTATGTTTATGAATTATATTTTCAAACAACCGTTTATATACGGCCATATTGTATAGCCTTTCAAAATCTTTATAACTAATATGATACTCTCGAAAATGCCATGAATATGTGTTAACTTTATGTTTTTATAACTCATATGCCGTAATGCAAAAATATATGCATACCTGCCATGCCGCTTTTAATAAGTCAGAAATCGGCATTGGTTATAAGGTATAACACGTGATCACGTGTAACATGTAAATGTCTGACACATGTGATATTTTGGCTGGATTCATCACATTTGTGGAATTCCCTGCACATCGCTATATTACCTTTCGGTGGTGCATCAAGGTCAAATATTATGACTCTTAGTTTCCGCCGTTTCCTCTACGGTCCGGGTTGTCAAATGCATGAACCCTAATATGAACTTGGAAATACAAATATGATAAAGGGCATTATATATAAAATTATTATATGTTCTTACTTTCCTGCGCTTTTCAACTGGAATGGTGCATTCACAATCAAATATACTTGATACTTAGTAATAACCCGCAATAAATTGTTGAACGTGGATTATTCTATGATAATTATGGCAGATGTCAAAGTAAGAAAATGGCTGCACTCAATTAAAAAGTGCCTTACGTCAAGTTAAATTCTTAAAATATACAAAAATGGTATCGGGTCCACCGCACTGCGTTGCAATCGAATCCACCGCCGTCTGCGACGAAAACATTTTTTTCATTTATTTTATAAACAGGCAATAATAATTTCCCAATTTTTCAAATTATGATTAATTTGTGAAAGTATCATTGATCGGATGTGATGCCGATGTATGATGGGGTCGTTTTGCACACATTTGTATGTGTTTTAACCAAAATTAGGCAAAAGTGGCGTCCCCTCATCAAACTGTACAGAAGTGTTTGCATAAACGGCAATGAATTGCACCGTATCCGTGTAATAGGTTGAAAGAGTACATATGTGGGCTCCAGTCTCACTGAGTGTTTCCAGTAAAACATTAAAACATAAAACAAAATTCTGTCGTATACTTACCGACAACAGCAAACGGCCATATTTTATCCACCGCTTCTGCGACGAATACTCCACCGTCGCTGCGGTAGACCCACCGCTTCTGCGAAAGCTATGGCCAGTGTGAAAATATAGAATAATTAATTGAAATCCAAAAAAAAAAAGTTAAGGAATTTTAAGTTTGATCAAAGAGCTTGATTTAAATATGTAATACAAGTCTCTGGTTTGATATCAAACCTGGTATTTCACATCTTTAACTTCATCACGCAAATGTTTTGAAGTTCATTACCAGAATTAGCACGTAAAGTTCATTACCAAAATTAACATGTGTAAATATTTTTATTGCTACATATGGGTTTCACTTTAAAGACATGCATTTCAAATTCTGACAATTTCACTGTTATGTTAATTATAACCATTTTTTTTATTTTTATGTATACTGTCAACGTAGAACGTAACGACTTGAGTACTGAAGTATAACATACAATAAAGGTCAGGAAATATGTCGTGGTGAGCCAGCTGTATTTAGTACTTTACAACCAAGAACAAACGGAACGTGTTTACGGGGTTTAGCTGAATAAGTTGCGCAAGCGTCGGTGTGATCGAAAAAGAAGAAGAAGCAGCACTGGATAGCTCTTGTTAAACATTTAACGTGTAAATAACTTTTGACAATTTTTTAGTTTACAAAGAAAGAGTAGACAATTGTAAAAATGTATACTTATTGTTATGTGGTTGTCTTCAATATATTTCGATGAATATATACGTTGTAGATCTGTTATTAATGTTTAGGTCATTTGTCAGCTCTTTTTCCCGCCATCTTGACCAGGCCTACATTCTATTATTTTGTCAAATTTACAGACACACGTGAAGTCAAAACCAAATCAGTCAAAAAATTGTTCAATAGTGAACAACACTAAATAATATCACAGTAGTGCCATATTTCCATGTCATGTGGTAGGTGTTTACAGTGGTCCAATTTGACCTATTTAAATTTTAAGCAATTGATGTCCTTTAGGTCAATTTGTGTTTTTTGTAATACCTCAAATATTTTCAAAGTCCATTGACATATGGCTTTGAAACTTTGCACTATTGTTCACCATCATGACCCCAACCTGTAGACAGAAGGAGGTAACTCTATCAAGCATTTTGTCAGAATTATGCCCCTTTTTCGACTTAGAATTTACGTTAAAGTTTTTGTAATACCTCAAATATGTTCAAAGTCCATTGACATATGGCTTTGAAACTTTGCACACTTGTTCACCATCATGACCCTAACCTGTAGACAGGAGGAAGTAACTGTATCAAGCATTTTGACAGAATTATGCCCCTTTTTCGACTTAGAATTTACATTTAAGTTTGCATACCACCTCAGATATTTTCATATTCTATTGACATCTGGCTTTGAAACAAGTTGAAATTTTATTCTTTAATCTTTGAGAGCATAATAGGACTCTCTTCAAGGCCTATAACTGTAACATGGTCTTAAAGAAAAATTTTACCCTTTTGTTAACTCAGAAAATTTTACATTTTCAAGGTTTTTTTACTATCAAGCACTAAGAATAGTCGAGCGTTGCTGTCCTACCGACAGCTCTTGTTAATCTAAGGAGTTTCTGCTGTATTATGCATTTGTTATTAAAATGTTTGATATGTTGGATGACCATGTGTATTTGATAATTTGTATGACTATTAATGGTAAATTGGTTTGCAATAAAAGGGCAAAAAAGACTTGAATATAAGTTTACAATCTTTTATAATGAGCCATACTGGTAAGGCAGGCTTCGCGAAAGTTGCCGGACCGTCGGACATGTCCGACAAAAATTAGGCCGGTCCGATATTTTTTTCCGAGTTCCAGACCTTATGTCCGGTACGAATACCGGGATATATCCAAGACCAATCAAGACCGAGTTTTCTCCCTTGAATAAAAAAATGTAAAACGAGTTTTGATTCGCCGTTTCATTTTTAGTGTCCAATCAAATTAGATACATACAACTTTCAATGATCTTGTACTCGGAAGAAAATGTTGGTGTTACTGCATTATTAAATTATTACGTTGGCGCTACGCCATGCAAAAAACGTAAATTATCTAATGAAGGAAAAAAGCGAAACAAAAGAAATACGAGTCCAGGCGCCTGCCGAGAAAATTTGTGGGTAAATGGAAAAATGGCCGCTCGTGGTTGGTTTTTAACGAGGAAGAAAATAAGATGAAATGTACATTGTGTCATAAATTTTATAAAGATCATATGATGATGATGATTTTGATCATGAATGTTTAAATTTCCAGACAGAGTCCATCAATCTGGATAAACTGATGTTTTATTTAAGAGAATAAAATTGTGTTGCAAATCTTTAAAAGTTCCTATGTCTTTAAAAAAACACAAACGTATTACCATATACATATATTTGGAAAAAAAATTCGGTCAGACAAAAGTTCTTTCGGTCAGACAAGAATTGAAAGTTTGTCTGACCGGATGTCAGGCAAATGTTTCAGCAGTTTCGCGAAGCCTGGTAAGGTACATGCAAAACCAGATAACCATCAAAACCGAACAGCTCCTAAAATGCTGATTTAGTTGTTTACTTTGTTCAGTGGTTGAGATATATCAGACTTTTTTTATTAATATGTTTCTTCTATGGTTAAGTAAATTAAATTGATTTTAACTTTCTTGAGAGGTAACACTAACAGTTGTGTGTCTATTGCAATGTTGACATTGAAAATTCTGATGTCAAGAGTGCAATACCTGAACTCTAACGCTATTATCATTTCCTCAAAGCCCTTCTTGCTTAATTATTTCCTTTTTTAACTTGGAATATTTTCCTTTTTTCTCAAAAACCATGAAAGGTATTCACTTCGAACCTGAGATATTTGTTGACTGCTAAGCCTGTTGCATATTTGCAAAATGTATGCCCCCTCAACGCAGAGAAAAATGGAGTGTGCTGTCCGAAGACAGGTCTTGTTATATATTTAGTTCACCTGAGTGATAGCAATGTCAGGTGAGCTATTCACATAAGTTAATCAATATTAGCATTGAAGTGTTTCTTGTTATCATGTGTTCAGTAGTTTCAATTAATTAGTCTGAAATTCCCAATTAAGACTGTGTACAATTTTCCCAACAATTCCAATGGTGTAAAACTGTTAGTGGCTTTCCAAAATACTGAAAAAAAGAAGGCCTAGACTTTGTTGATATTTTTTTAATGGAAAAGCAATGACATCTCTCTATTGTTATTACAGGAGTCTCTAAAACATAGCAATGAGCAGTGACTATCAAGAATATCCAGATGTTGTACAGGAAGTGAGAGGAGCTTTAGTAAGTCTTATGTGTGGTGATAAGCCTAACGTTAAGCATGTTAAGATTTTGTTAAAGACCACCCTTGTGGCTGATGGGTTGCTTTTAAGGGTTGAGGCCTCAGAATTGCAGTCTTCCTTTATCCCTGCATGACTGTAAGAGACAATTAAACGGGTTCAAATCATTTCATAGCTCCATTTTGACCATTGGTGTTGCTTTAAGTTTGTAACACCCAAGGTTAGCCAGAATCATCTTTCCTGTTTTGGCACCATATGACTATTGTGTTAGTGCACCATAAAACCAAACAAACAAATAAGCTTTTTAAAGGTACATTAAGCCTCAAAAATGAATACATATTTAAAAAATATGTAATTTTTTCTCTTGACTTGTTTAGATTAAGAACATGTTTACTGCATATTATGTGAAAACAGCATTGATGACTGTGAAACAAATTTGTCAGAAACATAGCTAAAACATAGAGAGTAGAATTTTATCTTCCATACAAAATACTAAATCTGACACTATAACTTCAGCTATGATTAATTCAGCAGGGCTAGCACTGGCAGATTTTTTCTTTGAGCCAATTTTTCGCGGCGAAAATTGCGTGCCTGTATTTTATTTTCAAACAAGCAATCATGGTACTGCAGAATAACCAGAATTCAATTGTCAGACTTACTTATTGCATTATCTCATATATGGAACACTTTAAAAGGCATGAGATATTTAGAAGAAAAAAAAAAACATAAACTATATTTTACAACTTTATTTTGGTAGCTACATTTTTATCACATTAAAACTGATCATAAAAGCTTGCAGCTCAGTAGCTATAACATTTTCCAGGCTAAGTTGTTCAGCAATGTTTTCATAAAATCTAAGTCAGTGGCATGACAGTGACATCAGAACCACATTCTAATGTGCTGCTTCAGCTTGCTTGGTTAATGCCAAAGACTTTGTTTGAGGACTATCTGTATCTGAAATTATAAAAACAGAAACATTTGAGAGCAAGAAGAATAATTATTAATGAAGAAAAGAATATTGAAAAGTTCTAAACTAAACATAATTCAGGAAAAAAATGACATACTATTCATTATAAGAGTAAAGTTATTAGCATAAGTTTCCTAAAAATATTTTGTATGCTTCTTGAATTTTCCTTAAACATTTCACAGCCATATGCCATTTGTAAATGAATGCTCCAGACATATGTTATGTACAAAGTAAGGTCAATTTTTTTCCAGGAATACTAATTGTCAAATATACTCCTTGTCAAATTTATATAAGTTTTTTTTTTTAACAATTTTTAGGTCCGATTTAATTTGCAATTTAAAAAAAAACAACTTATATTCTATAACTCATAATTCCTTTGATCTTTTTATCAACAACAATAAAATTTAATGAATGCAAACTTACCGTAAAGTCCTCCATTTCATAACCAAACTGTTGATTTAATTGGCGATAATCTTAAGATGCCGCTAGTTATTGTTTTTATATTGAATATAAAGACCAATTATCCAGTGCACATTTAACAATCTGCCACAGGTATTTTTCACACCAATTAGTGTCGTATTTATCAGCTGATAAACATGTAAACATACCATGAGGTCAATGTATTAGACTGTGTTACTGTTTATAACAATATTTTATTTGGAAGGGAAGTACCAAATATAGACCAGTCAATGACCCCACAAAAAGGAGACTGTGTCGCTGTCTTTTGTGATAAGAAGCGGTAAAGCGGAAGTTGTATATGGTAAACCAAATGTGTACTTTTCCATTCTTAAAATAGCAAATGCTAAATTTAGACTGGATATTCCAAAAGTTATACTTTTCGTAAGTTGGAGCCAATCATGTTTTTTTTGAGCCAATTTAATAATTTTGGAGCCAATTTGCTCATTGGCTCCCGCCAGCGCGAGCCCTGATTCAGCCATATGGCCAATGAGTACAATTTTGGAAACTGTAACAAAACACTAAAATTAAAAGCATCTGAGAGATAAAATTAAGGCCATCCTTAAAAAAATGTTTATTTGCAGTAACGCGACTGACTCACAAAATTTGCCCCTACTCATATTTTTTTTCATGGTCTGGATAAAAAAAATTTTTTTTTTTAATCAGAAAATTATGCCTTGTGCTTTGTTTTCGTTTTTTAAAGGTTAATAGAAGAAATAAAATGTAGTTCTTATTAAATTAGGATTCAGTTATCAATTTATTAATTGTTACCAGCTTATCAAAGTATATATTGTCCAGCATTTTGAAATTCCATGTTTATTTGGGAGTACAGTTCAATAAAAAAAAAATAATAAAAGAATTATCGACCTACCTACCCACCTTGAAAATTCTGGGTCGGGTTACTGCAAACAAACATTTTTTTAAGAACTGCCTAATTGCAATTTTAGGATTTAATGTTCTGAACTGGATAAACAGGGTAAAAGTAATCTTATTTGTTCTTTACAGAATCCAGGTCGTTTAAAGTTTCAAGGGAACAGTATAGTGTTTAAAAATACAAAGACCGGAAGGGTTGATCAGTTTCAAGGAACTGATATAGATGAGGTGAAGTGGTTGAAGAGAGCAAGGGGTTACTGTCTCAAAATTGTCTTACACAGTGGACATATACACAGATTTGATGGCTTTAAAGAAACAGTAAGATACAGATTCAGATATTTAAAAAAATAGTTCTTTTTCAGTATAATTGTGCTTCTTGAAATTTTTCTATGGCGCTTGTTTTAGTCAATCTATACCTGTACTTCCTGTTTTACTTCCGTCTTCATTTATTGATTTGAGTTTAAGCTCATGTTACTACAAAAAGACACCTTGTCAGGTTAAGGTAAATGAAGATGAATCTTGGAAGGAACGTTCTTTACATTAAATATCAAATCTTAATATGTTCAAATATTTTTGTTCTGTACAGAACTTTGATTGATAACAAAATTTGAACATCTTCCAGGCTCAAAGCTTCAATGTGAGGCATATTCTAGTAGATCTCCAGAAAGATAGATCGCATTATGTTCCTGATATTAACCCCAACCCAGAGGTCACTTATTTTTATAATGTCTGGAATAATAGGGAAAACTTTTTAAAAAAATGTATTCGATAATAGATTTTGGGTTGACTTGTATGTTTTAATTGTTCCTTGATTTGCATTGTTTAAATTTATATCTATATTTTATCTATGAATTTTTGATTTACAGGATCAGGACAAACTGGGATCATTTATTTCACGTAATTACAATACGAAGCTGGAACCTGTTGATCTTTCAGTTAAAGGATGGAACTGGGGACAGGCTAAATTTGAAGGTATTTCCTATAAAGATAAAGCAATAAAACTCCCTATAATGTTGAATTCAAGGACCTTTATGCATGAAATTAAAAAAGGGTATGCAGATTTTGATGCAGTAAATTTAATATGTGCAAATATAATTGGATTGTATATCTGGACATTGATAAAACTGTTCAGAGAATAATGAAGCTATCTTGCTCACCCATGTGAAAGTGACTGTGTAATACCTTTTGTTAAAGTTATGCATGCTAGTAGCTACTTTATTAGCAGCCAACTGTTTATTTTACCAATCATGGAAGGTATTTGCTTAAAACTTTACACCTACCTATGAGATAATTTTCCATGGGTTTAACGGTAGCATGGATTTCAATGGAATAATAGCCCTTTATGTGAACTTAAACTTTACTAGTTCAAGATTTGCTTGAAGAGTCAGTGTTCCCTTGAAACTTGACACATGTCTTCAGAACATAATTGAAGGCCACTTTCCAAAAACCTTAACTGGCCCAGATTGTTCCTGAATTACTGGTATTACAGTTTGTGAACTTACCAAATTCATGTTCTTAGTGTTTGGGGTAAAGTTCTGCTTTAACTACTACTTGAAACTTCATACATCTTTGGAGCATAATTGAAGGTCATTATTTAAGAACCATAACTGTAGCATGGATTTTAACTATGGAAAAATTATTGCTACAAGTTCCACATCAGTGACAATTGATATTGAATCCAAACTGACGATATTAACTATGATATTTGGTGGCCACTTCTTTTCTGTAGTTTAATTCCAACAAGGCGTTCATAAACACTTATCCGTAATGTTTATTTCAGGATTTAGGCATATTGTTTGTAGCTCATCTGAGCCAGTGTTACATACAACTGAAGTAGGGTCATAAGTGTCTTGTGGACACATTTTTAGTTCTTACTAGTATTGTTTAGTCTGTTATCTTCAGGTAATGGTTTGAATTTTATGATTGACAATAACTTGGCATTTGAGCTTCCACTGAACAATGTATCTACAACAACAACAGCCAAAAATGAGATCACGCTAGAGTTTCATCAAAATGACGATGCCGCGGTCTCTCTAATGGAGATACGATTTCATATTCCTGGTGATCCAGCTAACCAAGAAGTAGATACAGTTCAAGTAAGTTTGAGCTATTGCCAATTTTTTTTTTATAATTTTTGACCTTTGACCCTCACATAAAGGTGGGTTTTTTTTGTCGTTGCCATAAATTGCTGGGGTTGGAGGCATAAGTGTAACCCCCAGTCCATCTGTGTGTGTGTGTGTGTGTGTGTGTGTGTGATGGAAAACCCAAAATTTTGGGTTCTGGTTGATAAATTTTTCCCTGCATTTATGGGGAAATTTTTTGTTAAAAATTTGGTTTTGGGATGACCAAAAAGAGCAGCTGATTTTTTCAAATTTATGGGTCAAAAAGACTGGTTTTTTTTTTACTTTAAATGGTTTTTGTCAGAGATTTCCCTTTTTCTCTGAGCAAAAGCAGTTTTTATTTCCCTTTCAAAAAGTAAGATATTTAAAACTCTCTAAAACAAAAAACCTCTCAAACTAAAAACCAAAAAAATTTGCTTCCAAAGGGGTGTTTTTATTGCAAAAGGGGTTTTTGCTTGTTTAATTTAACAATTTTTTTATTTGGTTTGGACAAACCCTTAGGTCGGGGCCTCTAACTTTACGTTAGGGGTCGCTGAGTTTAAGGTCAGTGTTGCTTAGAACAGACTTTTAGACTGTTATTGACTTTAATGCCCAATGTGCATTGAAAATCATTGACAAATGTGCAGGTTTGGGGAGCATCCATAGCAGATATTCTTGTTTAATCTCAATTTTTTAGTCAATATGAATATTGTAAGGAAAATTGATTTTATTAGATAGTTTCATGTTGATTGTTATCTTTCCATGGAAGTTTTGTTTGAATCTGACATCCCTACATCATTTTCACATCATAACTTATTTAAGGTTATTGTTATATTATCAGGAATTTCAGAACAAAGTTATGGAGAATGCTGAGATTATACAGGCAACAGGTGATGCAGTCTGTGTTCTCCCTGAGGTACAATGTCTCACACCCAGGTAAATACTTCTATACCTGATTTCTTATATCATGTGATATATTTTGTATCTTTATAGTGGGAATATTTTTATGCCCCCGCCATGTAATGGCCGGGGCATATAGTGTTACCCTGTTCCGTCATTCTGTCATTCCTTCATCATCAGTTTCCGTTCATTATCTTAAGAACGGTTGCACACATTCAACTCAAATTTGACATATGGATATGTCATGAGAAAATATAGGTCAAGTTCGAATTTGGTCATGGTAAGGTTCGATGATTTTTGGCAGAGTTATGCCCCTTTTACTTTGAAAATAATATGAAATTTCAGTTTCCGTTCATTATCTCCCCAACGGTACAACACATTCAACTCAAACTTGACATATGGATATGTCATGAGAAAATACAGGTCAAGTTCGAATTTGGTCATGGTTCGATGATTTTTGGCAGAGTTATGCCCCTTTTACTTTGAAAATAATATGAAATTTTCAGTTTCCGTTCATTATCTCCCCAACAGTACAACACATTCAACTCAAACTTGACATATGGATATGTCATGAGAAAATACAGGTCAAGCTTGAATTTGGTCGTGGTTCGATGATTTTGGCAGAGTTATGCCCCTTTTACTTTGAAAATAATATGAAATTTTCAGTTTCTGTTCATTATCTCCCCAAAGGTACAACACATTCAACTCAAACTTGACATATGGATGCGTCAAAGGAATGCGCAGGTCAAGTGCAAATTTGGTCATGGTTCAATGATTTTTGGCAGAGTTATGCCCCTTTCACTTTGAAAGTAATATGAAATTTTCAGTTTCCGTTTATTATCTCCCCGATGGTACAACACATTCAACTTAAATTTGACATATGAATATGTTTTTGGAATGCCCAGGCCAAGTTCGAATTTGGTCATGGTTCAATGATTTTTGGCAGAGTAATGCCCCTTTCACTTTGAAAATAATATGAAATTTACAGTTTCTGTTCATTATCTAACTTAAATTTGACATATGGATATGTCAAAGGAATGGGCAGGTCAAGTTGGAATTTGGTCATGGTTTGATGATTTTTTGGCAGTTTTAGCACTCATACTTTTTGCCATTATTTTGGCTACAAATATGCAATATGCTATTTTTAAAAGGTTAAGACTGAATAATTTCAGTGCCTTGAACATTGTATGAAAATGGTTTGTGTTAACATTGAAAAGTTTTAAGGGCTTTGAACTTAAAATGAAAAAAATAATTAATGCACCATCTGAAATTGTGGCTGCATGCGGGGGCATCCTTGGCATGATGACACATTTCTAGTTTATTATTTCATTTTTAAAAACTTAATTAAACTTTTCCATCAATTTTCTATTGACTAATTTATTCACAATTTTCTGTTTGCAATATATGCATTTCTTTTAAGGGATTTTTTGCAGTACTTTAAATTTTTGAATTCAGTGTCATACTTACAGAATGTTGTCATGTGGTTTTATATTACAGGGGTCGTTATGACATCAAGATGTACACAACATTTTTCCAGCTTCATGGTAAAACATTTAACTACAATGTTCCATACACTTCTGTCTTACGCTTATTTCTACTTCCTCATAAAGATGGCAGACAGATCTTTTTTGTGGTAAATTTATAACTTTATTCAATCATTATACTATTCTTGTACATACTCAATAATTGTTTCTTTTTTATGTACTTTTTGATATGATATATGATTGGTATGCTGGAAAAAATCTTAAAGAGCTAGGTCGTGATGTATACATTTTCATTCTTAATATAAATTTCTTATGTGCTTTATTTACTTACCATAGCAAACATACAAATAATGAAATTATGTCAAATTTATTTGAATTTGCTATGCTGTAGTGAATAGTTTGGAATAGAATTAGGAACATTACATCTGAAATACCTGTAATATTTGGAGTAAAGGATGAAGAAATGAAAATATAAGTATTTATAGGGTACGGAGTATTTTGGCAAATTTGACTTTGTTTTTAGAATATTTATGAATGATTATTGTTATAACTGTTGTCATTGTGTTTGGAAAGTTTCTGGAGTTTAATGTCGGGAGGAAGTATTCTTATTTGATGTAACGGTTGTTTGTTGTTTTATTTTCAGGTGAGTTTAGATCCACCAATAAAACAAGGTCAGACAAGATACCATTTTCTGATATTATTATTCTATAAAGATGATGAGATGACACTGGAATGTGGACTAGGAGAGTATGTACCATAAATATTATACTTTTATAACTATGAAATACTGTTGGAAAAAGGCGTAAAATGAAACAAACAAACAAACAAAACCTATTTTTCATGAATTTCATTCCATTCAGTTATGTCTTAGCAGCAAGCTTCATATTATTTAGAAATACCATTTCAAATCTCAGTACTTTGTCATTAAAGTTAAACAATACCAATGCCAGTAAGCTAAGAAATGAGTGGTGTTTGTTGCCTGCTTGTGCCTGAAATGATAATGATAGTAGCTTTTAGAGTCTTCTAGCTTCAGTTGGAAAGTGTTCTTAGAATGTTAACAATGGCAGTCAACCATTAAAAATAAGATGTTATTATGCAAATGGTTTGAGTAGGAACTTTAAATATTTTGTCATTGATTCTATTCAGTTTAAAGCTTCTCAGTTTTATGAAGCCATGATTTGCATAAGATGATGTGAGATTTGTTACATAAACCATAGTGATGTAATGTATCAGAATTAATTCAATTTTATAAGGTTTCTGTACTTGAAGTATTTGAAAAAATAGAATTCTGTATGATTAATGCACTCTGTTTTTGTTTATCTCTGCAGTCAATTAGAAGAAAGATATGAAGGAAAATTACAAAAGGAAATGAATGGACCAGAGTATGAAATAGTTAGTAAAGTGTTCAAAGCTGTAACTACTAGAAAAATCACAGTTCCAGGAAGTTTTCTAGGGTATGTTTATTTTTGTGACAATGTTTGCAAGCCAGACGCCAAACTTCTCAAAGATGAGTTTTTTGTGATGGCCTATGTCCATTAACTGTATGTCTTTTAATTATCTTTTCCCAAACCAATGGTTGGATTTTTGACACTTCTTAGAAGTGATTTTACAGATGATAATCTACTAGCCTTATAGCAAATAATTCCAGTCGGATGCAGGAGATCATAGGTGATAAGAATAGCCTTTTAAGGAGCTCCACTGAGGTGCAAATGCCTAAACACATAAAATTTGAAATTCTTACATAAATCAACTGGTGCACTAAGAACCAGTATGCAAAGATTATAAACCTAAAATTTACTCTAAATTAAATTGAGAAATCAATATTTGTATGGTTCTCAGTTTAAAATGCTTTTCATTTTTGGGTCATTTTGCACACACACAAAAACATGGAGAAATGAAGTGAGCAAATGATCTAAAATTTTGGACACAACTTCAGACCCGCTTCAAATGATACACATCTTTAAAAAATAAGGTTTTCAGTCCTGTCAAAAAACTGTGGAGTCCTTCAAAGAATGAATTTCTTTAAATAACAAAGCCTGAGCATAGATGTTTGATTTGTAGCAGTGATCCAAAATTACACTGGTCATATTTACTAGTAGAATTAGTTACATTTTTGAGGACAAATACCTTGATGAAGTGAATTATAAATATATTTTGTTTTACTTAATTAAACATTATTTACTAACATACATATGTAATAATATGTTATGTTTGCACCAGGCACTCGGGTACCCCAGCAATAGGTTGTTCATATAAAGCAGCTACAGGTCTCCTTTACCCACTTGAGAGAGGTTTCATTTTCGTGCACAAACCTCCCGTGCATATCAGATTTGACGAGTTAGCAGCTGTCAACTTTGCCAGAAGTGCTGGAAGTACGAGATCTTTTGATTTTGACGTTGAAACTAAAGCTGGAAATGTTTATACCTTCTCAAACATTGAAAAGTAAGTCTTAGTTTTAAAAAATATTTTAAACTTGTTTTGTTTCTTTCTTCTTCATATTATGTTATACCCCCTGGCGTCCGTCCGTTAGCAATTTGGTTTCCGGAGCATAACTTAAGTTCCATTTGGCCCACAATATTCAAACTTCATAGGATGATTGTCCATATTGGGTAGAAGACCCCTATTCGATTTTGGGCATCACAAGGTCAAAGGTCACTATGACCTTAAAACTGAAAAACAGTTTCGGAGCATAAACTATGTCCCATTTGGCCCACAGTGTTCAAGAACTTCATAGGATTGATTGTCCAAATAATTGGGTAAGAAGACCCATATTGATTTTGGGGTCTCAAGGTCAAAGTCACTATGACTGAAAACAGTTTCCGGAAGCATAAACTTCAGTTCCATTTGGCCCACAGCTGTTCAATCTTCATAAGAATGATTGTCTATATTGGGTAAAACTCCTACTGATTTTGAGGTCCAAAGGTCAAGGTCCAATTACTTAAAACTGAAAACAGTTTCTGGAGCATGAAACTTAAGTTCCATTTGGCCCACAGCGTTCAAACTTCATAGGAAATGATTGTCCATATTGGGTAGAAAACCTATTGGTTTTGGGGTCAACAAGGTCAAAAGTTAAGTCACTATGACCTTAAAACTGAAAACAGTTTCCGGGAGCATAACTTAAGTTCCATTTGCCCACAGTGTTCATACTTCATAGGATGATTGTCCATATTGTCACAAGATCAAAGGTCAAGGTCACTATTACTTTGAAATTGAAAACAGTTTCTTGAGCATAACTTAAGTTCCATTCGGCCCACAATATTCAAATTTCATAGGAAGTTTGTCCATATTAGGTAGAAGACCCCAATTGATTTTGGGGTCACAAGGTCAAAGGTCAAGGTCACTCTTACCTTAAAACTGAAAACAGTTTTCAGGGCATAACTTAAGTTCCATTTGGACCACAATATTCAAACTTCATAGGAGGATTGTTAATTGAAGGAGGTAATACTTTATTTAATTCCAATTCTTACAAATGCTTCATCTTGACTTTAAAAAAAAACACTTTCGGGCATATAATGCTCCGCCTAGCGGTGCTCTTGTGTTGAATTGAAGTAATTTTAAGTAATTGGCTCATTCAATACCTAAGTAGAAATTTTGGACTTTAATGATATATGACTGTATAGTAATCATTAAATATTGTCCAACATAGGTCATGTGCCTCCTTTTTCTTAGAAAAGTTACTTTACTGAAAAAAAGCACAGGCTTTCTTTTATTAATGCCATATTACAGAATAGGAAAAACTGTTCACTGTAATGTATATACTGTCATTATGCAGTATTTGTTATAGATCCACTGCTTGTTGGTACACAAACATGTTTTAAACATGGTTATTTATTTACAGGGATGAGTATGGAAAACTATTTGAGTTTGCAAAGAATAAAAATCTGAGAATGAAAAATATTGGTAATAAAAAGGTAGGTAGTGTGTATCTTGTAAATTATACAACATGATTCTTCAGCTGATGCTGTCTGATTTCAAACTTTTTTCAATTGCTGGTTTGACTTAAAGGTAAAGAATGCCGTCAAAATTTAAAGTATGCTCACTTAGTTTTACAGGGAGAAGTTCAGATAGATGATTCGCTCCTCAGACACCGCAAAATTTCAATATGACAATTGATTCGAGAGGTTAGGTCTTATAGTCATTTGTCTGTCATCGTTGATTCAGAAATTATGTGATTTTAGTGGTCAGTCAATTGCTGAGATACTGGTAATCACTTGTTAGTTATCCAGGAAAGCTGTGACCCAAGATGTGACCAAAAAAGTGTTGAACTTTGTGTAAAATCCAGACAAAGAAAGAATTGACAACATTACATACATGTATTTCAGAGTGGTGTTAACAATTATGATGCGATGATGGACAGTGATGATGAGGATGGAGGACATGATGCCTATCTGGAGAGAATGAAAGCTGAAGGAAAAGACAGGGATAGTGATGCTCTTGATGATGATAGTGATTCTTCAGGTAATGCCAATACTATAATTTTGTATTAGTTTCCCCTTTTGAGATAAAGCAAAAATATAATATTTCTGAACAAAAGTGCCACGGGCATGATTCCACCAAACACAGGTTCTTGTCATCTCCGACTGCTCTTGTTGTACATACATTTGTAATAAATTCATAGCCCAGAACGGGTTATGGAAGTAATAGTGTTTCAATTGAGAAGTTCATTTATAAATTTCAGATGAAGATTTCCGACCTGAGGATTCAGCTAGTGATGTTGCTGAGGAGTATGACAGTAATCCTATGACTACCTCAGACTCTGATGAAGTAAGTTGGTAGTCAGTAAATTATAGTCAAGTTTCAGATAATGAGTCAGTTACCAGTAAGTTGGTAGTCTTAAAAATTTGCTTTCAGTTAGTTGGTAATCTGTTAGCATTTATAAAGCTGTTCTAAGGTGCTAAGTCATAAGGTAGAAAGTAAGTATGGTCTTAGTCATAGAGATAGTAACTTAATTATCAGCTAGTAGACAGACAAAACAGTGGTATGTTGGGGCATCTATGTATGTGTCGGATAGGGTACTATACTATCATAATAATGTACAACACGTTGTGTCTGGTTTATACGTCTATTCAAACTACTAACCTTTACACTACAAAAAAAGGAAAAAAGTTTGGGGAAACCCGTTTTTACCCCTTAGGGTAAAAAAGACGTCCACGCATACGTTGGGTCTTTTAACTGGCAAACATGTTATAAGCGCAATTCTCGACAGTATGCTTTTGTAGTTAATAAATATTGTTTAAGTGATTATTTAAACATGTAAGACCCACACTTTGTAACACCCCCACCACATAATGTTTTAGAGTCTATATTACTTTGTCATGTTGGTTGGTCATTCAGTTAGCTGGTCAGTTAGTCTCCATGTGTCTGCAATAAAAATCCTTTATCCTTTGAGGGATTTTTTTTTCAAATGTCAACCTAAACAGGGTAATGTGCAGAACCCATGCCACCAATGTCCCATGTCAAGGTCAGGATCATGCTTGATACTTAAATATCAGATGGCCAGTAGGCAGACAAGTTTGTTTGTGCTATAAGTCATATACCCCTTCAAGGATTTTCTTTTAACTTTGGTTAAATGTTCACCTTAAGGGAATGTGTAGAATCCATGCCATCCTTGTGCCTGATTTGTGTTGACACAGTTGTGCTGCCTCAAGGTAAAGGTTACCTTTAAAAGTTTAATACCAGGCAGTAAATGGGGGGTCTGTGGCTGAGTGATTAAGGTCATTGACTTAAACTACTGGCAACTCATCACTTCAGACTGGAATTCTTTCATATAAGGAAGCTCTTCAGCTACCTTACGGAAAATTAGTGGTTCCACTTGGGTGTCTTTTCAGAGGCCTTCCTCCACAGGTAAAGCTGGAAAGTTACCATGTGACCTTTATAGTGTTGGCTCAATGTAAATTTTCAAAGTTTGATAAGTCAATAATTCATGTTTCACATTTTTGATGTGTGATAGTGTTTATTTCTGCCTTACTGTTTGGTTTACCTTGGCCTTACTATTTGGTTACCGTTGGCCTTACCATTTGGTTTATGTCTGCTTCACTGTTTGGTTTATGTCGGCCTCATTAGTTGGTTTATGTCGGCCATACTGTTTGGTTTATGTCGGCCTCACTGGTTTATGTCGGCCTCACTGTATGGTTTATGTCTGTCTCACTGTTTGGTTTATGTCAACCTTACTGTTTGGTTTATGTCGGCTTCACTGTTTGGTTTATGTCGGCCTCACTGTTTGGTTTATGTCGGCTTTACTGTTCTGTATATGTATCATGAAAATGCAAGTACACAGTTTGATGGGGGTGTTAGTATTAATGACAGATTGCATAAAATGAATGATTGGTATAACTTCAGGAAGGTAGTGGCTCTGGTGGTGAACAAGATGAAGAAAAGAAGGCAGAGAAGAGGAAAGAAAAGGAAAGGAGAAAACAAGAAAAAATGGAGAAGAGAGAAAAATCTAAATCTTCTAAAACTGTGGTAAATTACAGAAAATGTTCATAGTTAAAGATATACAAATGTAGATTGAAGCATATTGTTAGTCAGAATGTTAATGTAAATCATATATAACAAAAATTAATGAAAATAAGTATAGAGGGAGGGGGAAAGATAAAAAGTATCTGCCTTTTAACCAGGTATGATTGGTTTGAGTGGTACTGAGGTCACAACCCCTGGAAAAAAAACAATTTGGAAAAAAATTAAAAAAAAGGAATAAAATATTTTGGAGTTGGAATTTTCCTGCATGATACAAAAATTTTTTGGGAACTCATTGTAAAAAAAGTAGAAAAAAATTTGAAATTTTTTAAATTTTTAAAAAGAAGGTGGTCAAGAAAAAGAAGAAAAAAGAAGATCGTGACCCAAAAAACCCAAACGTCCCAGACTGATATTCATCTGGTTTATGTCAGAAAGAAAAACAAAGACATAAAAAATCCTGGTTTTTCTTTGTTTTGATTCTCAAAAAAAAGCGGGAAGTTGGGGAAGGGGTTTTTAACAGAAAAGGGGAAAAAAGGTGAAAAATTACCCCGATAATTATTGAAAGTTTTAAAAAGATTATTGTTTATATATTTGGGCTTTTTGATTGGAAAGAAATTCAACAACCTACCCAAAAATTTCAAAAGATGGTTAATGACAGATTAACCTATTTTTGTGCAGAGTCAGTTTAATTTGGGGGTCCCTGGTTTTGGTTGTTGATTTAAAAAACACTTCCCTAACATTTGGGTAGAACCAACCCTTCTTTTTATATAAGGTTTTATCCACTGCTTTTTGGAAATTTGTAGTTCTACCGGGACCCGTTCAATGCCCGAAAAAACTCCCAAATGCACCCGAGGTTTTCTTACCACTTAAGGAATTTTGTCTATAATTTTTTCTGTGTTGTGTGATTAAAAAAAAAAAAAAAAAAGGGGGATTTTTTTTTTCTTTAAAAATTTGGCAAATCTTTTATTTTGGCAAAAAGTTTCAGTATTTTACATAGACTTGCTTTTTATATTGAAATTACAAACATTTTACTTTCAAAAACTGTTTAGTTTTTTCCAAACTTAAATAATTAAACAATATACAGTTATTTCATATGTGATTTGGGAACAGTCAAACTGTTGGCCCGAGGTGGAGGGGGTAGTGTTTTGAACTTTTGCCCAAGGCCGTAGGCCGAGGGCAACAGTTCAAAACACTATCCCCGACACTGAGTGACAACTGTTTGACTGTTCCCAAATCACACATGAAATAACTGTTTTATTACCTGATCAACTACTGATTTAACAGTATTTGCAGAAGAAAAAAGGAACAAGAAAATAGTTTTGCACTGTATATGTTAATAATTAAACTTAATATTTTAACTATGTCACGTCAAATCTGGTTCATGATCAAGATCGATGGACGCTTCAAGTGGGAATCCTCTATGACGTCAATGACGTCAGAGCACGAGAGGGAAACAGTTGAAACTATTGACCGGTCAACAGTTCGCGAATGTTGACGTTTTTAGAATTTCAGAAAACAGTAAATAATAACAAATTACATTTATATAAGGTATCAGGTAATAAATTTATTTATGTATTACTAGGTTTTTTTTCTGCCCTTGTCTTTTACCAGCTCTTCTCATCTTAACTCAGAAAGCTGGTGACAAAAAGACTTGCTTTTGCTATTATTATAAAACCAGAACAGCTTGCATTACTAAACAACTTATTTATTCTGATATACTGATTTAGCTTAGAAAGTAACTACAGAAAGATACAAATTTAAAGCAAGCAAAAAAAATCAGAAATTTACCCTAGGCCAAAATTTCTTGAAATCAACATTTCAGACTGTTTTGCTATGTTAATTATAAATAGAGGATATTGAATGAGTGTAAGTTCAATACTGAATTTATTGCATGAGTTGATAAAATTATATTATGCGAGCCTCTGGCGAGCATAATATTATTTAAATCAACGAGTGCAATAAATTCAGTAATGAACTTACACAAATTTATTCTATTTATCACATACCCAAAATAAAGACCATTTAAAGTTAAATTAGAGTCATTTTTCATCTATATGACATTGAGCAAACATTTAAAGTTTCGGAATTTTACTATTCACAAGATTTTACAGCAAAATTTAATCTCTTTTAAAAAGTCTGATTTGACAGTAATTTAACAGGGGCATGTCTTACAGTTATATATAGGAATATGTAATACATTTTAGCCATTTGAAGAGAAAGCAAAGGAGGCCAAAGAAGAATATGATATTGCTATTAAGGAGTACAATAAAAAACTTAAAGAAGAAGGACCTCCAAAATCTAGGTGAGAGATTCAATTTATAAGATTTGAACGTTTTTAGATTTGAATTCATTTGATATATGACTAGCAGCTCAAAATATCTTGAAACTTTTATAATGGGGGAAATCTGTATTTTGGTGTTTCACTAACTAAGTATTTAACACAAACATACCAGCAGTGTTTCTGCCAGCTCTGATTTTCTGAGGGTCTTTTATGACCCCCTGTATGATATTTTAGGGGTCATTTCAAATTCATAAGGGTCATGCCAATAAATTTAACAAAAATGTAAAAAAAAAAAACAGGTAACACTTTATAAGTTTTATTTACAATATTTTGTATATTTTTCGTGAAGAAATTGGTCAATCTCTGCTATTTTGGATTATTTGTCATCCAATAATAACGCTGTATTTCTTAAAAATTATGTGTGTTAATTTTCATAGAAGAAAGAAAGTCGATACTATATTGAAATTCGTTCATAGTCGCCTTCTATTTTTCATAGTGCTTCATAGTACAGCCTAGTGACGTAATCAAGGGCCAAATAAAGCTTGACACTAAATATGTTAAGTGTTCATCCTTAGCTGTTTTACAGAAATTAGAAACATTCTCCTGTCGCTATCGCTCCTTCGAAGTTTCTAATTTCTGTAGAACAGCACAGAACGATATGAACACTAACATATACGCAGACTGCATTTTCCAGCAGACAGTTATTCGTTCGCAGAATATGACGACAACAAAATAAATAATTTGTTTGGGCGCTTTCAATATATGCAGTAACGTATAATGCAAGCGTTTATTAACTAGTTGAAATTGGCTAAATGCCGGACCACGGACCCGGTAATTTCATTTCTCATTAAAATTATAGTGGAGCCCACGGTAAACATTCCGTACATTTTTATACTGAATTGACGGTTTATAGTCTGTATATCTGACTTGTGTTGAAATCAGCGACGGTGAAATTCTTGCGTCACAAAATACGCACTAACTAAATTTCATTGCGCCATGGCTGAAAATAGTGCGCCAAAAACGCAAAAACGCGCTCTGGCAGAAACACTGTACCAGAGAAGCAAATTGTTAGAGTTTTTGTGTATCCTAAAAGCAACAATGTCTAAATAGATACGAAAAAGTAAACCTTTTAGTAAAAAAATATGGGCACAAGATGTGGAAAATATGCACAACGTGACTATAAGTTTTCCAGATATCTTAAGTCTTTGATTAGTCTATTATGACTTTGTGTGGGGCATTTTGTATTGAACATTTTACAGAATTAATTTTTATTTATCAGAGTAAAATATATAATTATAGCAGTCCAAGTGAGAAAAAGTCAAAGTCGAAATCAAAATCCAGTCCGAAGAAGCCAGCTGTAGAATCTAAGGCAGGAGCTGGTGGTTCATATAAAAGTAAGGAATTCATTTCGGAGAGTGAGTCATCATCTGACGAGTCTGAAGATGAGGATGATAAACCTCTCAAAAAGGTCAGTACAACATGTAACACTGCATGATTGTAACATAATTCATTGGAAAATCATGATGTTTATTAAACATATTTCTTCTCCAGTTTTCTCCCTTGATTGTGATTTAAGAAAATAAAATGTTCTATTTACTCTGGTTTGGTAAGTTAGATGTGTCTCATACAAGTGGAATTTGTATAATTATGGTTCAATGGCTTCATACTCGTAAACCATGCAGAACATTATTTAGGGAAATCAGATAATTTTGATTATTTACTCTTAAAATTGTAATTAACATAGTAACATACTTGAAATGAATGACCTATTGACATTTGGCAATACCATTCATATTGTCATCTTGAAAGGATGTCTAGTTGCTTCAACTTGCTAAAAATGATTGGGCTAAAATTGTATCAGGTACTTAATTTAGCTTCATTTCAGCTTAATATTCATTTTCATTCTTACACATAATACTAAGATGCTTCCATTCAGTTGGTTGTATCATACAACAGGGATATTAATTCAACAAAATGGTTGTTATGCTCCCCGAAAAATTTTGGGTTGCTACCTTGTAGGTCAAGATCACAGCATGACCTTGCAGCAAAATTGTGTCCGGCCCATAACTTTGTTATTTGAAGTCAGATTTTACAACTATTTCACAGAAATGATCACCATGTTTAGACAGATGTGTCACACGCAAGGTCGGTAGATAGATCTCATTGAGTAGAAGTGCAGTGCAAAGAACAGTACCTCTGCCTTGCCTAAGTTTGGAATTATCACACTTTGAACTTTGTCTGGGACATAACTCTGAAACTACAAAAGATATACTTTCTGTGTCCAAAACTTAGTCGGGGAGCATGACCTGGTTAAACCGGCTCTTGTTTGTAATTGTTTCATATTACAGAAATATTTTATTATATTACCCTTGTTTTGTTTAGAAACAGAAAACAAGTAAGAAAGAGAAGAAGGAGAAAATGGAGGTAGAAGAATCTGGTTCAGAATCGGAGGGAGAAAAACCAACAGGTGTGAAACGTAGATCTCAGAGGAAAGAAGGGGAGGAATCTGATGTTGGTTCAGTAAGTATAAATCTGATTTTATTGTAAAGTTAAAGTTTACACATTGTTCTTAAAGGATATAAAGTATTTGTGATGAAATATTTTTATAAAATTTACAAACAGTAAAATTATGTTGTTTCCATAATATTGTGGTCAATTCTCTAAAGACTTGTAACATTGAATGTTTGACATGAATATTCCACTTAAACAAAATAAAATATTCCAGAATGTAATATTATGGTGCTGTTATAACAATTAGCAATTACTGCATGCATGCAAATAAAATATTGCCAGATCTAATGTATGTGCTTGTGAGCTCTTAAGGAAATTACAAACATTTCTTTTTAAAAAAAGTTTATTGATAAATTCACTTTCTATGGTCTCTATAATTTTAATTTTTTGACTGAGGTCTAGGATCACAACTTTTTTCAGACATCTTCTTGTATGATACCAATAAAATAAGTTTATGAAGCCTGGTAAAAATGTTCCTTGCATAAAGTCGCATCAAGGTATTTCAGTTAATTTTGTTACAAGCAGAAGTCTGAATACCATGGCAATTAGAAACAAAATCTTAAATCTGTCCACTATACAATCATTGTTTATTTTGTAGTTACCAGATGAAGAAGAAATATTAAGTTCCCCGGATCACTCGGATCCTGGTGAGGCTGCCTCCGAGTCCGAGTCTGGATCAGGTTCCGCATCAGAATAAAGAATGTGTGACAACACAAGTCAGAATATCTGATCAATACAACAAGAGTGATTTCCCTTCCTGTGTTGAATAATTACAACTTGTTATTTTACATATTTAGAAAATCATGTAAATCATGTATACGAAGGTTTATTGTTGTGAATATATGTGAATTCTGTTTGTTTATAAGATATTTTCATGATTGTTACAAGAGCATCATAGGTTTACTCTGTACTCAATATGTTTGGTATTAGTTGCTTTTGTTTGTTGTAAAAAGCAGTAGTAACGACAAATGCTTGATTTAAATCTCAGACTATGTTTGACGATATTGCCTATGTTATGGACAATGATATTTATTCTGTTTTTGTCAATGACACTTTACTCTGTCAGGGTTTCTTTTCGTGTTAAGAAACAACAAAAAACATTACCACAATGTTAATGACTTCAGAAGAAGTCTAAATGAAATTTGTTAATAAAATTTACTGTGTATTTTCCTTTTTTATTTTATAATTATATAAAAGGTAAACCTTGTCTAACATTTTAATATCAATGTTGAAACCAAAACCTCTGGAAGGAAAGTTTATGGGTTAAATAATCTATACATATCTCTTTCTAGAAAAACCAAACTTCACTTAAGTGTCACATCCTCTTGAATGAAGATGGTAAGGAAATGGGATCACTCTAGATATATGTGTTGCTTTTGAAGTCATGAAACATGTAAGAAAAGTGCAAGTACAAGTGCATCATTGAATGAATAAGTTAATGTCATGTGAGTGCAGAATATAATCTGGTGTAAGAATGGAGGCTACTTTTTGATATGACTGAAATTTCTTGTAAGTAGCAGTTAATGTAAGATATAAGAAACATGGTTAGATTTTAGATTTCTGTAAATTATCTTGGATGGGACCAGTGTATAAAAACTTTCTCATCTATCATCTCTACCTCATTTTAACCCCCTCCCCCACCCCTCTCCCCTGAAATGGGGATGCACATATACAACGCCCCATCTGTCTCGGCAACCATTAGCCTGAATATATCAAAACTTGATAAGTTACTTCCAGCTAAGGAGGACCTGTGCATATAAATCACATGTTCAGGGAGTTCTGTCCCACCTTTTCTACTAGTATTGCAATAATTTCTGTTATTATGTTCAATATATAATTTTGAAAAAAGGAATTTAATTCAAATATTCCTTCTACTGATACATATTTTACTAGCACATAAAACCTGCTCTTATGTGCTACTTTAGAGAGTAGTTATGTTTCCAGTAATATTATTCCCTATTCCCTCTCTCCCCTTCATAGAGATAGAGTAGTTTTGCAAATGTCCATCTTGATAATTATTTTTGATAAATTCCAAAAAAAAATTTTGCCTTGCAGATGACTTACTGGTGTTGGAAAATATGAGTGTATGTACAGTAAATATGAATTTATAAGTATGACTGTTCAGTGGGATACAACATTATGTTTAATTACTGGGATCCTATATTGTTGTATGACACAATTTACAAGTTTATGAATCATGTATACAAGTAAACATAGTTACTCATTCACCTACTTTTAATATGTCAGTAAAGTGCTAATGAAAAAAATCCAGTCTTTGTTCTGTATTTTGTAAAGAGAATGTTTTAAGTGGATATCAAGTGGTTGTTTTGAAAGTGTTCAGGGAGAAATATTAGTATACTAATGTGTGTATACACAACATTTGGAGTCAAGTGTGTAGGTGAAGTCAAATGGTACATTTGGAGTCAAGTGTGTAGGTGAAGTCAAATGGTTACCTGTACACCACATGTGTGGTAAAATGGTCAATACTATGGTAACATATACACCTGATGTGAAGTAAAATGATCAGTTGTGTGGTAAATTTAACACCACATGGGGAAATAAAATGTTCAACTCGGTGGTAACATCCATGTAAAGTCAAGTCTGTAGGAACAACACTACATGTTAACAAAAGTGGCCAGCTCTGTGGTAGTTAACATGTTTAGCAAAATGATACGATCTGTGGTAACACTCACCACATATGGAGTAAAATGGTCAGATCTGTGGTAACATTTACCACATGTGGAGTAAAATTGACTGATCTGTGGTAACATTTACCACATGTGGAGTAAAATTGACTGATCTGTGGTAACATAACCCATGTCAGACACAAGAGTATACAAATGAAATAGCATTTACATGTATTATTGTTTCGATTATTGAAATTATTAATTTTGCAAATATTCATGAAATTCAAATTTATATTCTGCAGTCTGACCAAGGCATAATTTAGTCTTCACTAATGTACTTATCTGGCCATCGTATTCTGTAATTTGACTATTGTAGTTCGTAATCTGACCAACATATGCTCTCATCTGACCATGACATACAATAAGTAACATTAGCCTGACTATTGTATTTCGTCATCTGACCATCGTATTCTGTGATTTGACCATCGTATGTGATTTGACCATCGTATTCTGTGATTTGACCATCGTATGTGATTTGACCATCGTATTCTGTGATTTGACCATCGTATTCTGTGATTGACCATCGTATTCGTAATGTGATCATCGTATTCTGTGATTTGACCATCATATTCTGTGATCTGACCATCGTATTCTGTGATCTGACCATGGCACACACAAGACTGACTTGCATTTCATAAATTTTACCATCGTATATAGTTTGTAGTCTATGACTTAGGCTTGTATATCGTAATCTATCCACAGTATTTTGTAAACTGGTCATCTTATCATTTGATTTTGTGGTCAGAAATAACTTTTCATAATACGCTCATATTTCTAACAAATAATAAAGGAATCGCGCTTCTGGCTTAATTGGCTTGAAATCACTTTTCAAAGGTATCTTAAAACTTTTCTTGGATTTTACGGCAACGTCTTTTTTAGATGCATGTACTTCATTTTTAAAAATATTTACATTGGTAACATGTAATAAAGGAATCCATTAATAAAGTTATGTACAAAAATTCTATACGGTTGATTTTTTTTTATTTGTTTCGGATACTGTTTATTAAATGGTTCCTCCTCAATATTATTTCCTTGCTAATTGAAATCCAAGCTTTTATATACCTTCGGTAAGTTATATTCAATTTTAGATTTTGATATTTTTTCGTTACTTTCAGATTCCAGCATTGGCAGGCATGTCTCTATATATTAACCCGTAATAGAATCCCTTGTTTTTTCAAAGAATTGTTCCCAATGATGAAAATGTTTCTCCGGAGACTAAAATAATTAATTGCGGATGCAAAAGAATGTCCTATATTGAAATTTGATCTCAAGATAAATTTTGAAAGGATACCCCTCAATACTTTCAGTTTGAATTTACGAGTCCACATTTCTTGTGAACTGAATTAAAAAAAATCCGCACAAGTCCACCTACTGTTAATAATAATTATGGTAATTTCCCTGTAACTTTCATCACTAACTTATATCATACAGAGTGAGTTTATGGTAATGTGGTTTTTTTCTCCAGCTAAGTAATAGTAATTAAGTGCCTTAAGAACACGAGCACTTGACTGCTTATATTAATAACGCCACTTGAATTTAAACGATCCAAATGATAGTGCTGATAACCGAGAATTCAGATCGAACGCGGGAGAGGGTGATTGCTATAACATGTCTGTTTCAACATATATTATTTCTTTTATTAGATATAAAGATTCTTGACAGGTTATATGGCCCTATATAAACGGTTGTTTGTATATAACCCGGGGCGCTAGGCGAGCGTTATATTGCAAACAACCGTTTATATACGGCCATATAACATGTCAGGAATCTTTATGACGAATTTATAATACAGCAAACTTCTTTTTTCGGGAAAAAAAATGTAATTTCTTAATAAACTGACAGAAGCCGTGTACATGTATATAAAGCTTTATAATACTGCACGTTTGTAACGTCACTTTTCATTGGATAATCGTGACGTTTATATTATATGTTATTTTGGTTTTGGAGTGATATATGTGGATATATTACCTGTTAAGATTTTATATTACCCGAGCCGTTAGGCGAGGGTGATATTTTATCTTGGCAGGTAATATATCCACATATATCACTCCAAAACCAAAATAATAATTTTATTACCCTTCCCCTGCCGAGTTTAGACGATTTTTTAAAAAATCATTGCTGTTTCAAATGAAACGTCGAAATAAGATTCCCTTTAGGATACCTCTTCGTCACAACATGACGTCACATAAATACATGACGTATTTTTCCCGTACCTTACGAAAGTAAACAAGAGAAAAGGAGTAGTCTATTGAACGCACTTTTTTGTAATTAATATCAAGCTTTCACAAGGTCATATTTGTTTTTCGATACTGATGGTAATATGTATCATTACTCTACTTTGGTAAAATATTGATCATTTGACAGTTAAAAAGTGCTTTTAAATCGGAATTTACACCGCGTAAAATCGAACCGTACGCGCATCACCTCAGCGCATGTTGTTTACAACGTTGGGTACCAAACGGGGAAATTTAGCGTGTATATTACCCGTCTGGCTCGGTTATATCAATTTCTTTCGGGTGATCAATATCCAATCAAAAAGGCGAAAAAAATCTGGAAGGGTAATAAAGTTTTATATACACGGCTGCTGTCGACTCGTGAAGAAATCTTATTTTTTTCTTTAAAAAATGATGCTTGCTGTACTATAAATTCGTTATAAAGATTGTTGACAGGTTATATGGCCGTATATAAACGGCTGTTTGCAATATAACCCTCGCCTAGCGGCTCGGGTTATATTTACAAATAGCCGTTTATATAGGGCCATATAACCTGTCAACAATCTTTATAACTAATAATATAACCGTCACGATTATCCAATGAAAAGCGACGTTACAAACGTGCAGTATTATAAAACGTCAAATATCATAAAGTTCTCGTCTCTTGTGTCAAAGTGGTAAAATTTGAAATAGTAATGTCAAATATCCTTGACCTTTTTACAATGCGATATTTCCCTAGAAACGGAGGTAGCATTTCGCGTTTGTGTATGGCTAAAAAGAGAAACTTCGTATACATTTCCTCTTGTATTTATGCGTAACCTGGAAATAACTTACGATTACATAAAATGTCTTTTTTCCTGCCCTTGAAGAAGTTAAAAGCAGGCCATAATCTGTCTGGATATGGTGTTCGTCGTATTGATAGTACAAGATCATTTCTCCGACCAAAGTTAATGATGAACAGATAGTTCGAGAGACTGGGCTCGAAGTTAAAGAAACGGAGAGAAAGTAGTAACTTGTTATGGAAGTTCTAGGACATAATTATAAATATACAGGCGCGCCACGATTACATGGGCGATCGGTCTGTTGTTTGTAAATGACATATACCGTGTATTTTAGTATAGATTGGCATGAAATGACTTACTATAGGCCAAGTTAAAAGTCAAGTCGACTTGTACGTACACAACACAAGAAAAGCACCTTGACACTCGAGTCTTACAAAATTTTCCTGTAAACCAAATCCACGTTTAAAAATTTTATATACACTTTTGGGAAAATGAAAGAAATTAAAAAAACAGGGGCAAAAATTTTTGTAAATAAAAATTTGGCATATTTGAAATTATACACCTCTTTTTAAAAACAAACCTTTTATAAAAAAATGCATCATTCAAAACCCTTTTTCCGACTTTTTTGGTGTCCTGATCCTGATACAGTTTTTCAAAAAAAGTTTCTGGCCATAAAAGCGAGTCATGTACAGCTTCTCTTTAATATAAGTATCGTATATG